GCGGCGCGGGCGGCGGCAAAGCCGCGGACGCGCCCCTCCCGATGGGCACAAACGCCATCCCGGGCGACGGCGCCTTCTCCTCGGGCTCGGACGCAAACCCGTCGTCCATGTCCCCGACCGACCCGACCCTCCCCATGCCGAGCGACTCGCGCGACCCGGACATGCGCAGCGACCCCGTCAGCGACTCTCGCGAGCCGGACAGGTGGATCCCGTTGGCCATTCGGAAAGAACCCCCGGGCCCCACCGGCGACGTCGACCCGCGTCCCCCGCCCGACGGGCTCCCCCACGCCCCGGCCCCGCGCCCGCTCGGCGGCGGGAACATCGCCGCACGCAAGTCGTGCGACCCGCTGCCGGGGCTCTGCCCGTTCGTCACCGAGCTGCCGAACGACCCGCGCCGCGCTCCCCCGGGCGCAGGCATGCTCGACCCGAACATCGTCAGCGTCGGCGGCGCCGCGTAGCTCCCCGGTGCAAACCCGCCCCGCGCGCCCCCGTCGGGCTCGCCTGACATATCAGCATTCGTCGCCTCGCCAGAGTACTGGTAGTGGTACCCACCATGCTGTCCCCGAGGCATGCTCCCTCGCCCCACGACAGTGGCGTGTCCGCCTGCCCCGGTGCCCCACGTGGTGTTCATGTTGAGACGGCCCTGCGGCGTGAAGTTTGGCGCCGACGCGCTGTACACCTCGTCCATAGGCGTCGGGGCCATGGTACCGGGCTGCTGGATCAGGATGGGCTTGGAGCCCGGCGTGCGGTACGGGCGGGATGGCGGGACCCACGGCTGACCGCCGGGGAGGGGCTCGCCCTTCATAAAGGGGTGCTGCAGGGCGTCGGCGGGGTTCCAGCGATCACGCGGGTCGACACGCAGCATGCCGTTAAGGAGGTCGTTGAAGGATTCGCGCAGGGCAATCTCGTCGGCGTGCGGGGCCGGGGTGCGAAAGGGGTAGGTCATGATGATGTCGCGCAGCTTCTTCTCTTTGAAGAAGCGCTTCCATTCGGGGAGCGTAGTGTTGTTCTCCTGCTCGTACTGGGCCGAGGATTTGAGGTGGAAGAGATGGACGTCGTCGGGCGCAGTCTCGCCGGCACGCACGGGGTAGAAAAACTTGGAGGTATTTTGGCAGCGGCGCAGGAAGCGGTCAGGCATGTCGCCGAGCATCTCGACGATGCGCGAGACCATGTTCATCTCGTTCTGGCCGGGAAAAAGGGGAATGCCAAGGAAGAGCTCGCCCGCGACGCAGCCCAGGCTCCACATGTCGATCTTGGAGTCGTACTCGGGGCAGCCGAGCAGGACCTCGGGGGCGCGATAGAAACGGGATTGAACGTAGGAATAAATAGGATAGTGGAGCTGGCAGGCCGAGCCAAAATCGATGATCTTGACGTTGGCCGTGTCGAGGTTCTCGAGGAGAATGTTCTCAGGCTTGAGGTCGCAATGGATGACCTCGGACAGGACGAGGACATTGAGGGCGTTGAGCAGCTGAGAGAGGAATGTGCGGAGGGTGTCAAAGTTGAGACCGACGTAGCTGTTCTGCTTCAAGAGCTCGTAGAGGTTGATGCTGAGACGCTCGAAAACCAGACATAGATGGCCGCGAAAAATGAAATGATTGTGAAAGTTGACGATGTGACGGGTGTCATCTGAGCTGTTGTTGAAATGCAAGATGCGGAGAATGTTAATCTCAACCCATGCCTGATTGAAGTAAGCTGGCTGATTCTTGATAACCTTGACGGCGACGATAGTACCTGCTGTGAAATGCCTGCACTTGACGACCTGTCCGAAAGTGCCGGTGCCTAAAAGATCCAGGACGACAAAATCGTTGCCCCTGCCATCACTCAGGGTATCATTGACGTGGAGGATGTAGTCATGGTGGATGTTATCATAACCGTCATTTCCTGCGGGGTGGGTGGGTTTGGTGAGGCATCGTCTAGGGACGCTGCGGATGAAGAGAAAAGCGGGGTTGCAGCGGGAGTAGAGCGAAAGCAAGCCAGAGGTGGCGTGGTGGAGAGGGGCGCGGTGGGCGGAGGGGACCTGGCGGGAGGGAAGCGGTCGCCAGGCCTCGAAGCGGGAGGTACGCGCCGGGGACATGCAATGCGGATCTCAAAGCGGCGGGGCAGTCAACATGGCCTTGGATGGAGGGGGATAGTGTATAGATGTTTCATGAAACTACTTTCCCCAATTTTTTTTT